CCAGCCTGTGTGTCCCTGGGGGCCTTCCCCAGGGCCGTCACCAGCAGCTTTAGCAGGGGAGGCACCTCCTGCCGCAGAGGCGGCTGCCCAAGCCGGAGAGGCCAAAGCCCCCGGAGGAGATGGGCACTCCCTCAGAGCTGAGGATGCTGCCAACGGCAGCGGAGGTGGAGGAGCCCACGGCGGTGCTCTGCGGGAAGGAGCTGAGGATGGGGCCGGGCAGGGTCACCACCACGGGGGAGGGCTGGATGACGACGGTGGAGTCCTGGCACTGCCTGACACAGGGCTCATTGCAGCTGTTGGCCAGCGGGGTCGGGCCGCAGGGCTGGCAGGGCAGGCAGGGCATGCACGGGATGTTGCAGGACATGTCTCCACAGTAGAGATTAACCCGGACTGCAGAAATGGATAACAAAGCACGAGGGGTGGTTGACAAGCCAACTCTAACCCCACCATGAGGGAGAAAAGAGACAAGGAGAGAAGAGGTGGAGGCCTTTTAGGGAGGACCACGGGTTTCTCCTTCCCATCAGCCCAAAAGAATCCTGCCAAGAGTGACCAAGACCAAGGATGTCCCTGCCATGTCCATATGTCAGCAGAGCCATGCCCTAACCTCTCTCCATGATAAACCTTCTGCCCCCTTCCCACTCCCATGATAAGTGGCTCCATGTCCCAGCTAAGACACGAGGAGGACGCGGAACAGTAGCAGGAGCAGGAGGAGGCGTAAGACAAGTAGGAATCCCAACTCACCTTGTTCCCAAGGAGATGGAACTGAGAGGAGTGGATGAGAGAGTGAGGAGAAGGACTCGCTTTTATACTGCTCCGGCACCGCCCCAGGCCCACAGTCACTGCAGTTAGGCAGTAATTTTCCTGTAGACTCACCTCCAAAGCAAAATATCCTACCTAGTGGCGCAGGCTGTGCCTTGCTCTCCGTCAACAGTGCCATTTCATTTCCTCATTTCTGACATGCTTGGTCTGCCATGCAGGCTCTTTGATGTGCCGCGATGAGAAGGCCAAGGATTTCCTGGGCAGCGTTGTGTCAGTGTGGGCACAAGACACCTCCAAAGTTCTGGAGGGGCCCCCCTGGCACTGAAATAGGCAAAGCATATGGAGGGCAACAAGAAGGTCTTCTTCCAGGCAGGTCAGCACCAAAAGGAGGCTTGATCAAAGGCAGCCTCAGCGCTTAACGGGGCAGCCTCACTGGGCATTTATAGGGCTTATAGGAAAGGTGGAGGTATTCCACGGCTTCCTCGCCTTGGTCTTTACTGGCAGGATTTGCTGTCAAGAGATTAGGCTCCTGACACTCCTCAGAACATGTGGAGCAGGGAAGGAGGATCAGGTGTGGGAGCAGTCAAAGAGATTGGACTGACACAAGCGCAAGCAACCTGATGTCACACACCCAAGAGAGTTGTTGGCGTCACAACAAGGCCACTCAGCTCCCTTTGAAAGTCACAGCAGCCAGGGAACGCATCTGAGGACTGGAAGGAAGCCAATGGGCCAATGGGCCTCCTGTCTTCAAAAAGGGCACAAAGGAGGAGCTGGGGAACGACGGGCCACTCAGCCTCACCTCCAGCCCTGCAAAGGTGATGGAGCAAGTCACCCTGGAAGGGCTTTCCCAAGACGAAAGGATGAGAAGGCCTTTGTGAGTGGTCAGCAGGGATTTACAGAGGGCAAGGCAGGCCTGACCAACCTCCTGGCCTCCTCTGATGACCTGCTTGGCTCTGGTATAGGAGGCAATGGCAGCAGATGTGGTGAATCTCATCTAAACAAGGCTTCTGATGCCCTCGCCTGTGACAATCCTGACAGGCACAGTGACAAAATAGAGGCTGGGGAAGAGGCCAGTGTTGGGGATTGAAATCTGGCATGGCTGCTGTTCTCCAAGGATTATGACGAGGGGCAAGATGTCCAGCTGGTGGCCACTCACAGGGGTCTGGACTGAAGCCAATAGCATTTAAGCCCTGTATGAATAGTCCCGTGGTGGCGGAGGAAGGATTTCCCACACCACTACAGGCTGGGCCTGATGGGCCACCAAACAGCTTTGCAGCAGAGGACGTCAGTCCTGGAGGACACCATGAGGCAACACGCACCTCTGGGCAAAGGGCGTCCAACAGCATCCTGGGCTGCATGGGGAGGATTGTTGCTATAACATGCGGAAGGGAATTCCTCTTCTTGGCTCTGCACTGCTGAGACCACAACTGCTGTCCAGTCCGTGGCTCCCCAGTATGAGAGAGGCACGGCCATACTGGCGTGACTCCAGCAAAGTCCATGAAGCGACTGGAGCCCCTGCGGCAGGAGGGGCTGCCAGAGGTGGGGTGGTTCACCCTGGAGCACAGAAAGCTCCAGGACACGCTTCCTAGCACTGGGTAAAAGAGCTGATAGGAGGGGGTCAAGAACAGAGAGTCTGACTGTCCGGAGTCCTATCCAGTGAAGGGACAAGAGGTAACCGGCACCTACTGAAAAACGCGAGTTTCCACAAAACCAGAAGAAAAGACTTTGTTAGGGTGAGAGTGGCAAAGCACCAGCTGGGGCTGCCTGAACAGTTTATGCATTCTCCGTCCTTGTAGGCATTCAGAGCTTGACAGGACACGGCCCTGAGCATCCTCCAAGGGCTGACCATGCTTTCAGCAGGGGCGGTTGGACTAGGTGATCTCCAGAGGTCCCTTCCATCCTCAAGGATCCTGCAATCCTGTTACGGGCAAAAAACTCCTGAGGCACAGCTGCCCCCAAGAGGGAAGAATTGGTTGGGAAGATTGGAACTAAGGGCAGCCTTGGCTGCCACACCTGAGAAACATCGGGGTTCAAGCCCTCAAGAGAGGAAGGAAAGTGAGTATTGGGGTACAGCCCCTGGATTTAAGGCGCCCCGAATTCGGCCTGTTCAGGCAGCTGGTCTGTCGGATGCCACGGAGGCAGCGGTGAAGTGTAAAGGAGCTCAGAAAAGCTGGCAGCGCCTTAGGCACCTCATGCTGCAAAAGTAAGAAGGCTGCAGCCCTATACTCAGGAAAACAAGCAGGCGCTTTGAGGGTGAGAGGAACAGACCCACAGGCCTCATCTTCCTGGTCGAGGAGACCAAGGCTGCCATTGAGGAGCTCTCCTGAACGCTCTCTGGAGGGAAAGAAAGGGTCTTGGAAAACACCTCCCCACTGGTTGGGACTCATCCTTGGGTCCCATGTGGTAATGCTTCTCCCAGGCCTGAGGGCTTCATCACACCTCCCCTGCCATGACCTAAAAGCCCCCTCAGCCCGGAGAACCACCCAGCACCATTGGAGAGGCAAGGAAACCTACTGCATTTCCAAACAAATGAGCGTTGTCAGGACCCTGTAGTGCCACGTGCCCGAGGATGCTCAAGGAAGGGATGTCCTGGGTACAGAGCCAGCTTGCAGACTACATCAAGGAGCGAAGCACTTCCCTGCCCTGCAGACATGGGGGCAGCTGGGACGCACCCTGGGAGGGCAAGGGAACGTCTTTGGTGGGCAAGCTTCCTGGGAGAGAACTCTCCCTACCCTTGGTGAGTCACACTCTAATTTTGGACAGGCCATGTGTCAGCCTTCTGTCATGAGGCCAAGCTAGGAGTGCATGCTGTCTGCAGACCCATGTCTCATACAGGGCTGAACTCCCCTGCGGCCTGGACAGCACCATCCCTGCCCCGGGAAATCCATTTCCAAGCACCCGGCTATACCCTAGTACCCATCTCCAGGCATCCCCAACGGCCTCAGCCCTCAGCATGACCTTCTTATTAACATTCCCACAGCTCAGGACAGTCAGTATGTCTTGGAGAAGCGTCTCCTGCTGGCCAGGGTTCAAAGCGTGTGACCAAAGCGCATGGTGGAGTGAGGAGAGTGGGAGGAACATGGCGCTCTCCTGAGCCCCTACACACCACGCAGGCAGTGAGGAGGGACCTGACTCCACAGGGCTTGTTGAGGAATCACGGGGTTCAGAATGACAGCATTCTCCTTCTGCAATCCAGTTGATCACCTTGGTTGGGGACGCCCAGAGACTTCTGTGAGATGGGGTGACTTGGCCAAACAAAGTGACCCAAGCAGGAGAGGACTGCATTGGTGGCAGGATATGTGCACCTTCCTGCCAAGACCATTTTCTAAATCACCAGATTTCCCCAGACCCATTCCCCCACCCTGCACACACCCCTCCAGCACTTGGAGCACAGCTTCTGCCTGGACTGATGTGTCCCTGCCCGGGAAAACCCTGGGCCACTCATCTCAATATTTCAAAGGAGCCTCTGAGGACTAATGGTCCCATCAGAAATGAGGACAAGAAAGAGCAGCGTTGACAGAAACCAAGGCACAACCTGTGCCACTAGGTAGGATGTTTTGCTTTGGAGGTGAGTCTGTTGGAAAATTACTGCCTGTGTGCAGTGACTGTGGGCCTGGGGCAGTGCTGGAGCAGTATATAAGCAGGCCCTTCCCCTCACTCTCTCATCCACTCTTCTTGCCTCCATCTCCTTGGGAACCGGGTGAGTTTGGAGCCCTTCCTCCTCCTTCTACTCTTCCTTCTCTTCCCCCTCAGGTTTTTCTCAGCACATACCTGCCCCCTTTCCTACAATGGAGCAAGGGGTTCCCTAGCACAAGACAGGGAAAGGGAACAAAATCGTAGGATGGAGATAGGCTGGGGCCCTCCTGAGGTGAGGTATGGACCAGGCATGACCGGCCTGGGCTTGTCCACTCTTGGCAGGGTTTGTTTAACCTGATGGGAAGGAGAAACCCATGTGCAGCTCTAGAAAGACCCTGCCTCTTTCCTCCAGCATGTGGTTTGTCTCGCTCATGGTGGGCTGACAGGTGGCTTCTCAACCACCCTCAGGCTCTGCTTCTCCCTGATCTCTCTCCCAGGTGCTCCCCCACCACTGAGTCATGTCCTGCAACATCCCGTGCATGCCCTGCCTGCCCTGCCAGCCCTGCGGCCCGACCCCGCTGGCCAACAGCTGCAATGAGCCCTGTGTCAGGCAGTGCCAGGACTCCACCGTCGTCATCCAGCCCTCCCCCGTGGTGGTGACCCTGCCCGGCCCCATCCTCAGCTCCTTCCCGCAGAGCACCGCCGTGGGCTCCTCCACCTCCGCTGCCGTTGGCAGCATCCTCAGCTCTGAGGGAGTGCCCATCTCCTCCGGGGGCTTTGGCCTCTCCGGCTTGGGCAGCCGCCTCTGCGGCAGGAGGTGCCTCCCCTGCTAAAGCTGCTGGTGAC